GGATATTTCAACTCGGCACCCAAGGAAGCTCCGGCGCCGAAATTTTTGCGAGTGGGTTCTCAGGTCAAATGCTACCCCAGTACCGCGGTAGCCACCCTCATGCACGTCTAGTCCCCGCGTATGAACTCGTGAAAGTTTTGGTGAGAAAATCGCTAACTCGGGGACCAGAAAAGCTAGAAAACTGAAATTTTGAAGTTATGTTCCCCATCCGTAGAGAACTCAAAGATTTCAAATTCAGCCCCGAAGCATGCGGTGTCCCCACATACGGTCCCATAAGGGTTTCTAGCATGAAAATCACTAACATGGGATCCAGGATAGCTGGGAGGCTGAAATTTTAAGTGGATGTTTCCAGCTCATCTTAAATTTGTCGAATTCGGCCCCCAGGTATGCGTAATTCTCACGTGCGGCCCGTAAAACTTTTTGGCGGAAATATGGGTAACTCGGGAACCAGGAATGCTAGAAAGCTGAAATTTTGGTGGAATGTCCCTTGTCCGAGTACAACTTAAATATTTCAAATCCACTCCTCAGCTACGCTTGGTTTTTATGCACAAGCACGTGAAAGATTTGGCGGGAGAATTGTTAACTCGGCAACCAGAAAACTGGAAGGCTGAAATTTTGGGAGAATGCTCCCTGTCCAAATGCAACTCAAATATTTCAAACTCAGCCCCTAGCTATGTGTGGTACTCACGTAAGGGCGTATGAATTTTCTGCCGGAGAATTATTAACTCGGGAACCAGAAAAGCTAGAAAACTGAAATTTTAGGGGAATGTTCCATGTCCAAGTACAACTTAAGTATTTCAAATTCAGCCTTCAAGTATGCGTGGTTCTTACGTACGGCCACTCAAAAGTTCTGGCGGAAAAATTTCTCACTGAACAGCTAGGTTACTTTTAAAGAACGACCGTCAAATGGAAATTGCACATTTACTTTATGCAAAATTTACGATGATTTATGCTAGCGACCGCAAAAGGTAGGTGTAAAGCTGCAAAGCAACAACCATTCATGTGTAAAGCTGTAAAGCGACAACCATTCATGCATCATGCGTTTTTGCACCGGATCTGAGTACTTCAAGCCCGGTGCAAAAACGCATAATCGCACAGGCCCGCCAGATGCGTTCCCATCTGTGTTCATTTTCTCAAAAGGTGAGCATGAGCATTTACCAAAAAACGACTGGGCTTCATGCAAAAAATGGTAATCATACGTACCTGGAGGTCCATGTGGCTCTACAATGCAACACCCTCCTCCCAACCGATGCCCTTTCTCCTCCATGCCAGAAGAGGCCAAAGCACGGCCAATATGAGCCCAAGTGTTAGGCTACAACACAGGGGTCATTCCTGCTATTAGCAGCCTGCGGGTTTAGTGCAACCCAGGCTAGAAAACACGAGGCGGGCCGATGCGATCATGCTTTTTTGCACTTTTCGTGCTGTCGCAAGATTTCAAGGGGTCACAGTAGCTAGTCTTGTGACATGCTGGTCATCGAAGTTCGGGAAGTTAATTGTGCAGCTATGTGGCATGTCAGTTGTGGATGTCGACCCCAGTGACCCGACAAGTAGAAAAGTTTTTGGTCCACGAAAAAGGCCTTACTAGAAGAGTTAAATTTGAAATCTTTTAGTCGCACACGAGTACGGAACACTCCCTCAATTCCAGCTTTTCTCGCCCTCGAGTTAGTGACTTTCCCGCCAAAATTTCCACGTGCCTGTACGTGGGTCCCAAGCGCTTCTAAACAGCTAATTTTGGTCGTACATAAGTAGAGACCATTTTTCTAAAGTTTCAACTTTCTGACTTCCCTCGTTCCCAATTTAGCAATTTTCCTGTCAAAACTTTCACATGTCCGTACGTAAGTGCCGGACAGTCCTGGGCAACTGAATTTGAAACCTTTTTGTTATAGATGGGTAGGAAACTTTGTCCTTAAGTTTCAGCTTTCTAGCCCTTCTCGTTCCCTACTTAGCAATTCTCTCGCCAAAACTTCCATGTGGTCGTATGCGGGACCCTGACTTGTGTGAGGGTTAATACCGTAGTCCTCGGGTGGCAATTGGCCGGGGAACATACTGGCAAAATTTCAGCTGCAAAGCTTGCGTGGTTGGCGAATTGAAATACCCGGGTCGACGAACAGACACAGACACACACACATACACACAACACACACATATATATGCACTGACAGGGTCACTGCAATATGCGTTTTTGCCGGCTGTTGCAGCGCTCTGGCGCTGCACGGCAGAAAAGCATAAAAATGCATGACCGCACCGATAAGCCAGGGGCGTTCTAGCCTGGGTTATTGCAAATTTGTAGTCGGAAATAATTTTTTAGGGAGGAGGGAAAGACGTAAAATGACCGTGTTTTGTGGACTATATTCTAAAAGTTCAAACATCACAATTCGAGGAAATCTTGAATTAAATTCTCTGGCAAGATACATACAAGCACGTATCTACACATGTTCACGTACACATGGAATTGGCTGTGATGCATTTTTTTGTGTAAATTATGTTAGGCTCACTTTACTGTCACCTCAACCCCTCCCCCTCTCCCGCCCACCCCATTCTCGTTCGCATTCTTGTTGTAAGGATGCCTTTCTACAGTAATACTTTACCGTAAAGATGCTGTATGTTTGCTATATCGGATGAAGACAATTTAGGCATAATGTAATTGCCATGATAATCCACTGTTTCCTTATAGAATGCGGCCATAATTGATGTCTCATCTCTGGAATGCTCAAGGCCCAATACATGACCAATTTCGTGGATCGCCACTGGCAATACGTCAGTCGTATCGTAGCTTAAATAAAGTAATTTTGATTAAATATGAAAAAAATCAGGTATCCCAAATTCATGCATTTCTTTGTTTTTATTCAAATGGACGAAAATTTTGCTAACGCGATCACCGCATGCCGCTCACTGATAAAATTCAATCCCTCAAAAAGGTGCTAAGCAAGTCGATCTTAATTTGCACCGATCTAAAGCGTGCCGCGTTTAAGCTAATCCAAGCACACGCCGCCTTTACTGGCCTTTGCGCAACAAAAGGGCAAGTAAAGATTGCGTATGCTTGGTTTAATATTTTAAATTCCAGTAAAATCACCGAATAGCAAACAAAGTAATGCATTTCTGCTGCAGAAATCGAAGCAGCGATAAGTTAACGACAATTTATTTAGGGTGTAAAGCACTCTTTCGTTCTCTTCTACGGCTTGTTGGGAGCGAGTTACATACTGGCCACAATCGACCGATTACGCTAAACAGGACTGCAAATCGAATTCCTTAGTTCTCCAGCGGCATGTGCCTCTTTTTTAGCATTGCGCCAAACGCTCCACTCCATGTTTTTGATGAATATCGGAAACAGCACACCCGCATTTTCCTCTAGTATGCTACACAGCTGATTGTATTTGGAATACTTAGAAC